CTCTTTCCCTGTCCCCAGCCTGGTTCTCGGTTTTCCTCTGGCGCCTGTCTTGTGCCTCTGGGCCAGTTCTCCAGGAAACAGTAAAAGGTCCACTCATTCATGTGAGGAAACTTTTCCTTCAAGAGATTTTAGGAATTGCCTGGGAGCCATTCATGGAAGATCTTTTATGTTTATAACCTAGCCAGTTCTCAAAAAGGAGAACACCTTCTTGTAGAAACCCAGGCAAGCAACGGGGTCCTTAGTCATCAAAGACCTTTTAAGTACCAAGAGTTCACTGTGAAAGCAGACAGGTCTTTGAAGAAGAGCCACTTAGAATCTGAAGACCATACTTTCAAAACTGGGGGAATAAGAAGAAAAGAGGGATGATGAAAAGTGTTAACATCATCCTATGGCCAGAGGAGCCCGCTGTGTCTTTCTTCAGAAAAATTAAAGGATATTTAATTTTTTGTTGTTAATAAAAACAAACAAAAAAAACAACCAAAAAACTAAAAAACCAAAATCTCACAATAGGAAGGAATGTTAGTGTTTATTAAAGAAAGGTACAATGGGATTCTGAAAACAACAGCAAGAACAACATGCACAAAACCCAAAAACCCAAACAAACCAGAAGACACAATTTCAAGGTGGGAAAGGATGGTAACGTTTGCCTACTCGTCCGTCCTATTCAAACAGTGTTTGAAACTCTTTTACATGCATTCACTCCTTTGTATCTGGAGTTGTTTCGACTCATTTTCTGCTCTCCAAGCCCAGGAGACACATGGATATTAACGAATATTCATTAAGCACTTCCTGTACGTCTAAGTCGGCCAGATGCCAAGGACGTCCTGGAGAAGGCTAAGACAGTCTGCCCTGCAGGGATGCTCATCATCTCTCGGGCCACTGCTGTCACGTTTCTCTCTCCAGTGCACTGTTTAAGGGTTTAATGTTTAAGAATCAACGAGAAAAGCATCTTAAAAGGTGTTATCCTAGCATTATCTGCCATAGCTAGGGCCTTTTACACGTCACCTTGGAGGCAAAAATGATTAGCTGAGACCTTGGCAAATATAATCCACAGCACCCAGCAAAACAATAGCTATAGTTTTCTTACCCTGCTGATCCCAACTTCCATCCACAATTATCACTTCTACAAAATGCATAAGCAGGTTCTATCCATTATAGATCCATCCCACGCTAGGCAACAGCGAATCCTAATCCACTAGCAAGGAACACCAGGATTGTTCCCGGTCATTTAGGTTAAATGTAGGCTTGTGCTGGTAAGCAAAACCAAGGAGCTGAAGAATGCAATGCCCCTTCCTGCAAGCCATCCAGATTACGAGAGAATCTGAACAGCGTTAATCATATGGTGTGATTGCCATTTGAGACTGTGGATATTACTACATGAGATCACAGAAACAGGAATGGAATCTGAACCACTTTGCTAATTGATTGTTTGCTACATTTCTGCTCAAAAGGTACTTTTATAAGATATAATAATTCTATCCTATATGAAGACCAAATTAGAGAATATGAGCTGAAATTCTATTTCTAGAAAGTTTGGTTTTTGCTTATTTTTGATTAGAGATTCAACTCTAACAGCAGTAAAATATAACACTGCATCCTATTTTGGCAACATGCAATTTCATGGAAGTATACTCCACTCCACCCTGTCACAGCTTTGGGTGGAGGGGAAACGAAAAAAACCAATCCTTGTGCCAGGAAAGTAAGTATTTGCCAACTTTCCAAAGGGATCCTCTTTGAAAACCCAAACCCACAAGGAAAGCTTTTAAATATTTTTTATATTCAAAGACCTGGAAATAGTCCATCTGACTGCTGAGGTCCAATGAATGGTTTTAGGTGAAGATTTTGCTCTCCCTCTAAGAACTGGTGAACATAATTATGCTTATTGAACAAGGGTAACATCTCTACTTTCAGTTTTTTGTTTTGTTTTGAATCTCCAGAGATTAATTTATGGATTGAATGCAAGCTTCTCTGGGTGAAGCAGTAAAGGCTTCCTGATAATTGATGCTATTAAACGTCACACTTGGAAACTGACAGACACTATAAACCCATCCCTAGAGGCCTCATCTATTTGTAATACTTCTAACCAAACTCAAGAAAATATGTGACTTCTCCATGTCCTTTCCTCCCCCTAAGATTTTGAAAAGAAAGGTTAAAAAAATGCCACACTGGGGCTTCCCTGGTGGCGCAGTGGTTGGGAGTCCCCCTGCCGATGCAGGGGACGCGGGTTCATGCTCTAGTCCGGGAAGACCCCACATGCCGCGGAGCGGCTGGGCCCGTGAGCAATGGCCGCTGAGCCTGCGCGTCCGGAGCCTGTGCTCCGCAATGGGAGAGGCCACAGCAGTGAGAGGCCCGCGTACCGCCAAAAAAAAAAGCCACACTGAATTAAATCAGTAAAGCATGCATTCAGTGGTATCAAAGGACTCTTTCAAAATTACTCCCCATTACATTATCCTCAATGTTTACAGATGTGCTGCTAAGACCTTTCATCTCTTATTTTAATTTATATATGAGGGCTTTATCTAAGCACTTATGCAAGTATATTTCACATGCAGGTCTGTTAATACTTCTCAGATTGAGAAATTCCACACGGTATTCTGGAAAGTATGTACTGTACTGCCACAGACCCACAAATAAGGCAAGAGAACCCAGAGGCCGAGTACGT